CTCCTTTTATTTTGATCCTCATATCAAAACTAAATAAGCAGAAAATATCAAAGCGGCAAAAGGCGCTTTATAGCGACCGAAAAAAAGAGCGGCCGACGCAAAAAAGCAGAAATCTTTATCCAATGTATGTTTAAGTATCATATGCAAGAAAGTTTATCGTTACAAAGTACTGATTGACTCTTTGATTTTGCGCCCCCGAAATGTTGCGCCTGCGTGCGTGCACGCACTGCACGCTCGCCAGGAACGGGCCTGCAAATTATTATACAAATTTCCAACGTTATGTGAATGTAGGTAAAGGTTAATTTCTACCAGGGGTCAAACGAAGCAGAAAGAAATTTAGTTTTAAACCCTTATAACTTAAAAACTATTCGACGGAATAATTTTTTATTTCATGTGGTACGGTTTTAAGTGTATATAATTTAATACTTTATTCTTATCAAAATCAAAATATTTCAAAATAAAGTGTCAAAAATTATAAAAATTAGTGACAACCATATATTTTTAATCCCTTTAGCAACCAAAATATTTGACAGGATCTTAAAAAATATTCAAATTCAATGCTTGAAAAAAAGTATATAAAACAAGGCGGCAAAAGCTTGCCTTCACAGCAAACGGAAAATTATAGAGGTGTATAGGATGACGCCACGTTTGAATATCGATTTCTAAATCTCCCTACGGTATAGAGTTGTATTCGTCAGTCGAGCGTTTCAATACTCTCCACAGTATAGAGGTCGTAATTTCACTTTTGAACTAGTATTAATATAAAAATTATTTTATGCTTAAAAAAACTATATACGACATGATTGTGATTTTTTTCATTTTATTAATTAATTAAGCTGTGTTGAATATTTTTCCTAGAGGAATAATTGCCAATGGGCCATTAATTCATTTGTTCGTAGATGCTACAATAACCTGCACTGGTGTGTACTTTTTCATCAACCAGATTTAAATATTACAAAACTAACATATACCAGTGGAGATAGTGCAGGGTCTACCAACAGACCTAATTACTAAATTATTAAAGTTTAATAGCATATCGATCATTTTTCAACATAACCTCTTAAATTTTTAATACAAATATAGGTACTTTATATAATACATAAATATACTTAACATCATATCCTCTGTGCTTTACATACCTGAGTTGTTACGGTAAATAAAAATCAGACAAAGGAACCAAAGAAAGGAACTATTTTCAACAATATCATATGGAGAAATGAGAAAATTCATCCATCAAAAGATCAAAACTTCTTGCAATATTACACCCTCTTTTTATACTCTCAGAAATATTGACTAGAACAGTATTAGAGAGACTCCAGTTTCTATAACTTGGTAGAGTAAAGAGAAGTCGAAACCGTTGCGATATTGCATTGCGCTGTTTTTGTATAATTCTCGGGGACATTAACGAAAATCATTGCCAGTAAAATTCGAAAAGCTTGAGTTTCTATGTCTCTGAGGAGAATAGGAATCCGTTGCTGCACCATTGGACTGAACCCTTTTTTAATAATTTCTAGAGACATATATGACTGCACCATTCGACAGGGTGGAGTTTCTACTCCTCTGTTGAATATAGAAAATCAAAATAATGTATCTTGTAGACACCATTGAGTTTGACTTTAAATATAGTCGTGCATAGGTATAGAGCCGAAAAATATAAAAACAAAGCACGATTCAATACAGTTATGATAAAACTTTAAGATTTGATATTCAAACGCGGAGTCATCCTATACACTTCTATAATTTTTCGTTTGCTGTGTTGTACACAATCTACTGCCTCGGCTATCGCCTGGGCAGTAAAATGTATGCTTGGCTATAAGTGCTTTCTCCGCCTGATCTATAATGTACTACGTTGTGTGTTAAGTATAAATAACCCTTGCATCTTAGAAGTACAGGGGGCGGCAAAAACCGGATCTTCTTGGGGGTACTGGGCTGCTGCAAACCCCCGAGAAATGCACCAGAGACCGCTACATAGCCCAAAAGTTTGGTGTGCTGTAGGCATCGTTGGCATTATTGGACCATTTTTCTTTGAGGAAAACGAAGTAGCTGTCACCATCAATGCAGAGCGCTACATAAACATGATCAACACATTTTTCACTCCTGAATTAAAAAGGAGACGTATTGCAAGGAATCGTGTATGGTTTCAGCAGGACGGAGCCACGTGCCATACACCAAGGGATACCATGAATGTTCTTTGTGGGCTATTCCCTAATCGTCTTGTGTCCAAGTTGGCCTCCTCTATCGCCTGACCTGTCAATGTGCGATTTCTTCCTTTGTAGCCAAGGTTTATCAGGACAAGCCCCGCACATTAGACGACCTAAAAGCAGTTATTCGCCAACAAATCGCAGGCATTGATAGAGAAATGCTTCAGAGTCAGCACGAACTTCAATGAACGGCTACAACAATGCATTGCAGAAAATGGACATCATATGCAAGAAGTGATTTTTCACACATGATTTTTTACCTCAAAAATATTTTAGCAGTAGCATAATGTGTAATTGCTTTATCACTCGAGGAATGTACACTACTGTACACTACGCGTTATCAAACCCTGCGATGGGTTTAATAACGCGTTTCTGTACGGTATTGTTACTCGTATCGAAAAAATAACGAAAACGGTACTTATACTATACCGAAATTGTTGGAAAAATGTAGGTAACGTTTTTAATGTAAATAGAACTACGAAAGTATGTATTGAAACTATCAGGAATAGATATTTTCCAATACCAGTAGTTTTGTGAGTAGTTTTATTTACATTGAAATTCAGATTTCATTTGACAAAAGAAGGTTGTTTTATTTTAAACGAAGTAAAGCACATTATATTACATCGAGATCCTGCCTAAACTAAACCAAACCAAATAAAAATCAATAAGTAAATAGCATAGCAAAGAAGAAATTATCATAGCTCAAGCAGGAAATAGCGGTGGATAAAGCAATAGACTCAGTATACATGGTTTTGGCTCTCTCCAGGATATCCTTAATATTGTTATAATTGGGTTTTTGGCAATTTTCCTTGGTATATGTATATAATAATAAAAAAAACTACGATACAGAGAATACGGGAAGAATTCGGGAGAAGCCGGGAAACAGTCTAGAAGTAAGAAGAAGAACATTTTAGGTTTTACGTTACAATAAAAGTATGGATAAATTAATGAATATAATATGAAATGTCGATGCCGACTGAATTTATATATTTATAGGATGAATTAAAAGTATTTAAAAGGAATGTGGTAAAAGATAACCCAGACCCGGACGTTTAAGCCAAAGAAAATACGCACGTATTGTTACTAGGCTCATTTTAATACCTATAGGTACGCTTTAGCGTTTCGCCGTCGCTAGAATATCTAAAGTTTTGATACTTTTCCATCCCTATAGCGTTTCGGTATCTACTGAATTCTGTTTCCATGCCATATGTTTTTATAATTATTTCTTTACGATTGTTTTTGTTATTTTTAATTTTGGCGCTTCCAAACTTTTTGTTACCACTTGCGTTTTTTTACGTTAGCGGAAACGATACCGACGCAGTTTTGTTGCTATACTATCTTTTGGTAACACCCTGTTTTATCTACAGCACAACATTTTCAACCCCTTTTAAATTTAAACCTTAAATGCATCGCGTAGCAAATTTTCAACGCTCCGGGAACTCTTATAGTAGACACACTGTATTACTTGTATTTGCTCGAATGCATGGTGTAACATATCTGCAACATAGTGACGTATTTGCTAAAAAAAATATTTGGCCATAGATTGCGTTTGAATGACAGTTTTATTTAATTGTTTACTGAATAAAAAGTATTCTAGTATATGAGTAAGTTATGTACTTTTATGTAAATAATAATATTTATGAAATAGAAACAGTTGGTGATTGTGTTTTTTCTGAAATACTCATTGTAGTATATCTGCAACAATATGCACTAAAGTCCTATATCTTTTTGTAGCATGAGTAGCAAACAAGGTCTGACGGATGAGGAATTTTCGGGTGACATTCACAATATCGAAATTCATTATATGGAATTCAAAATATCGAACACTTTTTATCGAAAATCAAAATATCGAAAATACAAAATGTCGAAGATCAAAATATCGAAAATTCAAAATGTCGAAAATGATAATATCGAAAATTAAAATGTCGATTTGAAAATGTCGAATAATTAAAGGTAGTGTCTCCCCGACCGTCGGACGGACGTAGAAAAGTGTGTGCTCGACCGTCGGACGGACGTAGAAATGTGTGTGCTCAACCGTCGCATATTTTAACCTCATTTTCAACTAGAGGCTAAATGTTACAAAGTATTCCTCAAGGTTATGACGAATAGCTGTCATTTTGGTTATGCAGGTACACTGCATTGTGCCATACCAAACTAACCCAAACTTAACAACCCAACCCAACCGACCCCGCCCCATTGGGCCCCTCCCGCCCCATTGTCACAATCCAGCCTGCCCTTATATATATTATACCTCTATTGCTCAATGGGGCGGGAGGGGCCCAATGGGGCGGGGTCGGTTGGGTTGGGTTGTTAAGTTTGGGTTGGTTTGGTATGGCACAATGCAGTGTACCTGCATAACCAAGATGACAGCTATTCGTCATAACCTGTATGACAGCGGTCGAGATTTTATTTTCGATAAATTGAAAATTCGATTAAATAAAATTTCGACATTTTCAAATCGACATTTTAATTTTCGATATTATGATTTTCGACATTTTGTATTTTCGATATTTTGATTTTCGATAAAAAGTGTTCGATATTTTGAATTCGATATAATGAATTTCGATATTGTGAATGTCACCCGAATTTTCTACATATTGTTTTTTTCTTTTTTTCTTCAAAATAAATTTCTTTATTCGATTTTGATTTTTTAAATTATTTTTCCAATGTTATATTAGCCATTTTTACGTATCATGTAACATTTATTTTTGAAATTTATGTAGAATTGTTAATACTTTATTTATCGCTATTTTCCAGAGCTTTTATCTGGTCGTTGATAAAACTTACCTATTTTTTTAGATTAATAGCAGAATTCTTCTAGTAACAGGTAGCAGTGATTCAGCTTCCCAATATATGAATTATATGAATGTATTTTTTACCGCTCAAAAGCATAATGTTGTTATTGACGTATGTGCTTTAGATCAACATTTAAGTCTACTTCAGCAAGGATGTGATATAACTGGAGGCCTGTATTTAAAATTGCCGCAGCTACAAGGACTTCTTCAGTATTTATTGGTAATAGTATTTATAAACAATTATTTAAATTTCAAAAAATAATTTTAGTGGGTATTTTTACCTGAACCTCCAATAAGAGAAAAGCTAGTATTACCTCCACCTGTAAAAGTTGACTACCGGGCAGCTTGTTTTTGCCATAGAGAGCTAATCGATATTGGATTTGTTTGTTCTGTTTGTTTATCAAGTAAGTAACGAGATTTTTAGGTGTTTGAATGTTGTAAAATTTATTTAGCTATTAATATTATGTAAAACACAAAACCTAACAAATAGTCTTAACATGAGCACATAACACACCCAATTATATTCCTTTGGGCGCAATTTGGTAAAGAGCATATCCTGTCATGTCGTGTTGGTCATTGTTTTGTTATGACTTTGTTTTTTTTTAAATTCGAAACCTTTTTATTTTTTTTATATTCTTAAATACAGGATCTCTCAGAACGAACGCATGGATTAAAAAATGATGGTGGGCTAAAATTATTTTTCAGAAATAAATTATATTGTCAAGAGATGCACAAAAATTAACAGTTTTTTTTTAAAGTTTTGAAGATCACGTCCCTCTTGCCGCAAAGCAGTAATCCAGGGACTCCAATCCAAGGAGCGGTTCGCGTTGGCTAGCATCTCCCTTGGAACTGTCCACTTTTGAGATCTCGTCTTTTGACAACATATTTTGTTTCTGACAAATACTTTTGGCTTACAATAATTTTCAAATCCATTAATTCTAACAGACCCTGTATTTCTTATCAAGATTGAGAGTTTAACACCCTATTGCAGTAGTTTAATAAAATAAATCGTTAATTTTTTAGTGCAAACAATATTTTGTTTTTACTAAAATTTACAAAAGTGCATAAAATAAATTATAATAAATAGGTATTGACATCCTGTAGTTAAAACAAACAGTTCTGATGAACTATTGACATAAATGTGGTGATTTAGCCCCAGTGACAAATTGCAGATAAACTTCTCGATTTTTAATACGGGCTTTCGAAAGTTTCAACCTCACTTTTTCCCAATTTAAAACCCGCTTGGTTCAAATCACAGTGGATATTGAAATCAGCCAATCACGGGGCGGTTATAATGGTTACCATTATATAGGAAAAACCCCAAATAGTATCAATATTGTGTAATAGGGGTAGACAAAAATAATAAATGCACAGTAAAAACATAAACGTTTAGTAAATATTGTAACGGTTTAGTTAAATAATAAATGTTTAGTAAAATTATCGCCTCAATTAAATAATAAGATGATTACAATTCTAGTAAAAACAATAAGTTGGGTTGGTTGGTTTACTGAACGACGTTCAGTGAACGTTTATTATTTATAATTGAGGGATTAGAACTCTGCATTTGATAATTCTTTACCGAGCATTTAATATCATGTAAATATTAATAAAAATAATGTGCATAAATTCTTACTGTGTAAAATTGTAATAAATACTACTCAATTATATTTGTTTAATGAACAAAATGTAACTACCCAAAATATTTCTATCTTACTAACAATTTATTTTTTAGTTTTCTGCAAATTTAGTCCCATCTGTACAACATGCCAGTAAGTAAATAATAAAAATATATTTGCACGTGCTTGGAATATTTTTATTAATTATTATTAGGGTGGTTCAATAAGGTTTACAGTGTATATGGTTGCTGAGGAAATTTTTAGATTGATTCATTGGTTAGCTTTGCATTGACAGAAATTTGTATTAAATTTATTTGGTGTATTCGACTGGAAAAAGTCGGTAAAGACTTGGATTTCGCTTAAAGTTGACGACTATCCGCTTGTTGTGTACACCGTGAGCGGCACTCATTGGGACGACAGCCTTTTAATTATTTTTTATCATGTGAAATGTTTGTTTTGTTTTCAACGACGCCGGGGGCTCCTTATCAACAGATGCACGGCCTTGTCACAGTTTTCATAGATGGTGAAGGGTCCCCATAAATAGCATTTAACTTTGCTTTTTATATCGCTCGATAAGAAATCATCCAAAAATAAAACGATATTGTTTTTTTTATTGCCTCGAAAAATACTATACAGATATACTACAAAAGGCTGTCATGTTAAAACTAAGTAATGATTTAATCCGAAATTTTGTATGGTGTCGTTTAAAAGATGAAAATGTCGACTTTCCTCAGCATCACCATCTGTCTTTAAACACGGGTTCCTATCCCACCCTCGTATATTGCGTAATTATGTATAACTTATTTTTAATATTGAAATTAATTACTATTTCGGTCAACACTGTAACGTAACATTAATTAATTTGTTATGCAACAATGTTACGTTGCAATTACATGACTTGAGGGTTTTAAATTGGTTTCTTTTTCCCGCTTTTCGTAACGTAACTTACGTTGTCGCATTAAATTATTAATGTAGTTGTTAATTAACTTTTTGATAAATTACGATAATAAAAGTGAAACATATAAAGTTTGGTTTCAAATTTACGTTACATTAATGTTATAATTGTTACTCAACACTGTCATATTATAGTTACATTAATACATATATCATGTTGATATTCAGTTAAATTAGCTATTAAATATGACAATCTTGTTAATCGTTAAATAACATCAGAGCCAAAGCAGAGATAAACAGATAACTTTACAAATCCCGGGGTTCCCTGTGGGGAATATACATTGTTTGCTGCATACAATTTTGATACTTAAATTGAATGAGTGAATACTCTGAGAACAGATGGCGCTAAACTAAGATGATGTTAAATAGATAAAAATATCCATAACTCTGTAAATTGAATATTTGAATTTAAAATTTTAAAATTAGTTCACAATGACTCTCAAAATTATATTTTAAAACACCAAAAATTTCCCTAGAATCTGCGTCATTTTCCCTATTTGAAATAGGCTATTTCCCTAAAATGCTTGGGGACCAAAGACAAACGGTCATGGTGCGCTGTCCTAACTTTGTTTAGATTAGTAACACGAGCGAGATGTAAATTATATGTGGATTTCCAGGTTAAGTTTGTAACAATTATTATATTGTTACGTAACAAACTTGTCAATCTTTTTAGGATACTCCAAAGAATTTTGTGAATGTAACAATAAAGTTTGCAAAGTTACATATACATTGCCTATTGGTATTGTTATATATAACAATAGTATCACAATGTTATATTTGGAACAGTAACAATGTTACTATTATTTTAGGTAGCTTTTAGCTTTACGTTGCTTTTTAATAACATTGTTTCATTGGAATTTGACTTTGAATAGGTTACATAACAGTCATAATGTTGACCGGGATTTACTTATAGAGTCAATCCAAATGAAAACACCAAAAATGAATTTAAAAGTACGCTGCATGATTTTTTATTGTAATGAAAAAAATTGAGGATGATCTTTTAGGTGTCAAATATGAAAATCCGTTGCCGTTTTAATTTTTTGTTGCTTTACTTTTATTTGGCACCCCTTAGAAGTCTGAAATAGTGTCAATTTCTTACTCTCTTATAGTGGGCCAGAATTTTTTTTCTGTGACAAATATTGAAATAATTTTAATTTTGTTTTACTGTCCAGTAAGTGTGTTTTTGATATAAATTATTATTATCCAATTAGTTAATCTCATAAAAGAATGGTAAACCACTAAAGATTCATGATAATTTGCCAATTTTTGTGATTTTTGTCTGGCTCCTGTGCCTATTCTACTGAATTTAGAAGGTTCATTTTTTTCAGGTATAAAGTACTTATACAATAGAAAACGTAACTATTATTTTAAGTTTCTAGACTATCAATTTCTTTATTAAAAAAATTATTGAAAATTGATAGTTCTCAAAATTAGCCAATTTTGCCCTCAGAATGATTTATGTTGAGGAAAAAATAAAAATCTGAAACTTTCAGGAAATGTAGTTCCCACCTTCATCTTTTCAGTCCAGTTAGTCTTGTTTTGTTATTTTTATTTCTTTAAAAGATATATTAATTTTTTTAATGCCCGTTTAGTAGCGATATTGTTAGTTATTCGAGGCCAAACTTTGATTTCCATCCAACATCCAACAAAACCATTTCAACTTTTAGCATCATGTAGTAAAAAATCACATATTTATATCTGAAACATAGAAAGTGTTGTAAAAAAAACAAAAAAACAAAAAAACGTCACTTTTTTCCAAAGCCTACTACAAAGTTTTAATGAAAATATGAGATGTGTATAATATGCAGAGTAATTTATATATAAATGCATTTTTCTCGAAAATGGTGCATCTGAGCAATTCAAATCAAGAGTTCCTATTTTTCGTAAAAAACTATAAATTTTCATAATTTCATAAAAAAAATTAAATTATTAACCCAGAAAAAAGGGCTATTTTTGTAACTTTGCCCCCTCCAAATGTTACGCCTATGATTAAATTTTAACAGTTTTGATCATAGATCTAGATTCAGCATGTCAAAATTACCAAAGTACCGCAAATTCATTTGTTCATGTTCAACCCTCTAGGAATAGTTTTAGGCTCCTATTCAGGGGGCCGTAGCTCCTTTAGGGAGCATTTTTTGATACATGTTTATTAAACAAAAAAAGTGTTATTTTTATACGAATAATGTACTGTTTAAGTTTGGCCCCCTAATTTCGGGACACCCGTATAATGATAATTGTACCATAAATGTTAAAAAAACGCGAAAATTCGATGGAAATCAAACTTTTGCCTCGAATAACTCTGGAAGGAATCAATTTATAGAAAAATTATAGGAGACCTTTTTTGTAGAGCGTTAAATTTACTATGAAAATCTAAATTGATCCTTGACATAAGTTGATTCGATTCAGACGTATAAAATTTCAAAGTAAAAAAAAAATTCCCATGTTATTTAAATGGGAAATGGAAAATTGCGATCCGAGACCTCTAAATCTTCAAATTAAAAGCTCAAATTTTGACGAGGTCTTTGTGTTGACATCCTCTGAAAGAATTTGTCGACCATTTGAAGAAAAAGAAAAAGTCGATTTTTTTGAAAAACCCTAATGTATATATTATATACAGGTCTAGAAACTGGCGCACCATGCCATCCCAGATAGCAAAAAGTAGTCACGATGCGCGCACTGTGAGTGCACGCGTGCCTCTTTAAACGGCACGCGTGCGCGCAGATTACTATACAGATGCGATTACATATGCGTCTCATATGCAGCGCACGTGTGCCGAAGCATTTCCGGCGCACATGATGAGTCAAAAAAGTTGTATAGTTCAAAAGGAAATGCATATATAACGATGGGATTAATGCAAAATGGCACAAGCGCCAAATTTTTGAAAAATTTAGTACAAGTGATAGAATTAAATTCTCTAGCTAGAGCTCTATCGACCTGTAACAAATTTTTAAAAATATTGTGCCGTTTTGCCTTAAACCCGTCGATCGATCGATATATATATATATATATATATTCTGTTTTAGGTTTCCACGGGCGTTATATGTATTGGTGGTTTTCCGGGATCTGCACCGTGTTGTCGGTTTTTGGTTCTTAAAATAACCGTATTGTACCGAAACCAAAAACCGACAACGCGTAGCGGATCCCGGAAAACCACCAATACATATATTCAAGTAAAGGGAAAAAGTAAATAAAAATGCAAATTTTAATCAAAATCACTTTAAAAAAGTAAATAAATCAAATTAAAAATTCACGTTGCTCAATTAATCAAGTAATTTTGAAAATACTTTCAAAAATAACAAAATTTTTAAATAAATAAAAATCTCAAATTAAATAAAAATGCACAGGTTGATCAATATTGATCAAGTGATTTTAAAAACCAAAAATAAAAATTACAAAGTAATTAAAAATCTTTAAGGGGGGGGTAAGGTATTAAAATTTTTTTTTTTCGATTTTTTTTTTATTTTTCTAATCGAATGCATAATATCTCAAGAAGATTGTGTTAAAATTTCAAGTCGATCGGGGCAAAATTGACGAAGTTATGAGTATTTCAGCGTCCGTTGCCAGCCTGAGGTTTTATACCTGAGCGACAGCTGCGCGACGGCCGGACGCTGACTCATCCGGCCCAAACAGGCCTGTTCAGGTAAAGTCGAGTATATTCTGCTCTAGATCATCTTGATGGAAACCTTTTGCTCTACGGACCTGGCATCGACGACTCTGTGTGAGTATAAAAAAATTGTCGAATTTTATCTTGAATACTTCAGTACGCAAAACTTTAAAGCGTTTTTCTGAGACTTGTCATTTTTGAAGTCCGTGCCCACCATAACTAAAAATCTACTGGACCAATCGTTTTGAAATTTTGCACAGTGTTTCTTCACATAATTCCCCAGGTATTGTCGAGAGCTTTTTTTTTTTTTTTCAATAATTATCAATTTTACAACAGCAAATTAGCCGTTTTTTTTAGCGAAAATCTGGTTTTTGGCTTCCAAGTGCTACGAAAAATCGAAAAATCGAAAAAAAAAAAATCCTCTCGTGAATACCTCGACAAACATCTCCTTTAACGAATGCATTTTGATTTTTTTGTTTCTGATGATTTGGCTGCGAGTTATGATGGGCACCGCAAAACAACTTTTTCTCGAGGCGCCTCCGGAGATTCACTGTCACTCGCTCAATTTTTGATATTTTGCAATGAAAATTTAGGA